AAGGAAGGAAGGAAGGAAGGAAGGAAGGAAGGAAGGAAGGAAGGAAGTTTTCCCACATTCACTTCCAGTTTTCTACAAGGAAACTGAATGAGGAAGCCAACAGGAGGCTGGAAGTCATTCCCACCCATTGATTTTTTTTGCCTGCCCATGTTTTGGTAAGGAAATACTTCTGAAAGGATGACCCAATAGGCCATAAGTTGCCTAGTTTAAAATTAATTTATGTTTCAGAGATAGAAGTGCACAAATCTTACATAATACTTTGAATCTGCATGTTGATACTTACAACAATATGAAAAAAATATTGAGGTTACTCTTCAACCCATTTTATGTATTCTAAACAATGGAAAGCATTAAGGATTACAATAATTTTACATGCTCAAATATTTTTCAGCACATAGGTTCAGGTTTATTCTTTGAGAGATGAATAGAGTCTATCAGAAAATGTAATATCTTGTTACCAACTAAGTTTAGTGACAAGAATGTCTATTATTCTGTATCATAAACATTTCAGCCTGTCAGGCAAAGAGAAGGAAAAATGATTCATCTCACTACATCTGGAGCTAAAAGATGAGAAGTTGACATCTGAAGTAGCCTGGTAGGCATTCAAAGCTGTTGTGTTGTCAAAGTACCTCCTTGTTGGTATTGCCAACATAGGCAAATTAAGTCTTCAGAATGTTAAAACATTTTATGCTATAGAGCATACATGTCAGATATTGGTATCACTAAAACTACTAGGATCCACTTCCAAAGTAGTAGACAACATTAAAGCCTATTTGAGTGGTAAAAGATAGGCCACCTGGTGAGATGAGAGGATGCATCACCATCCACATTGTTCCAGGATCTTTCTTCTGAGAAAGATATTGCAGCCTGAGCAATTCCATGTTGTAAGGAAGTTGTATCTCATTTGGAGGAAAGATATTATACATCACCAATCCTGCTAGAGCACAGGTAGTATTTGAAATCACTTGGCTTAGTTTATCTTCTTCTGGCATACAAAGCCATAATGAGAGGCATTTGGCCCTTTCCCAAACCAATCTTCTGATGTAGTGTGAAGCCTTTGGATATTGGAGAAGGCCATCCAACAAAAGAGTCTTCATGGCTTTAGACAACATCCTTAATGGTGAACCCTGATGGGCACAGCCAGAAAGCCATTTTTTTTTAGACGATGGAGAAGATTTGCACAACATGTTTTAATTACTTTTAGAGATTTCTCTCAGATAAACTCCAACATTTCACATTTAGACAGAACTTTAAAGCATCTCATACTGCCTTCTATAAATGTGGCACCAGTATGTAATTTAATAACAGTTTTCTCATACTGGGCCTCATATGAAATTAGTAGCAGATTTTACTTTTATGTTGATTGTTCACATTCTGAGAATGCACTGCAATTTTTTCTTGCAATAAAACAATTCATTTTTTTTTAAAAAAAAAAATCTTCCCAGAGGGTAATCAATGTAATTAAACATGACTTTATTTAAATCATAAGACTGTGCTGATGCATTAAGCCATTTTGTTTTCATAGTAATGAGGACCTCTTCTATCAAACAACCATACAGCATTTTAGTAAGGTAGCCCAATGTCCTTATGTGATTTGCTGTTGAAATTAATATGGCTGGAGAAAATTAGAATCCATAAATGAATATTTAAATACCAATGCTAATATTACTGTACAGTCAAGGTAGCAACTGCAATGAACAAATAATCTCTTCATGGTTTGTCTAATCAAACATCTTACCATTTGGGTTCTTTGGACTATCTATCAGTCTGTCTGTCTACCTATCTTTCTGATTGTTAGTACTTGACTTACAAGTCCATTTTAAGCAAATTAAATTTCACTGGCAATGTTTAGTGAAAATTTGAATAAGGAATTAAAAAAATGTTAAGAATAAGAAATGCACCTTTATGTATCTATTTGTGTGTTGAAGGATATGTGAATCAGAACAGCTGGACTGCACACAGCTGGACTGTGAACTAGATTTTTCTCCTTTTTGCTGATTAGGGCGTGTACTCATAATTCTGAATATTGTCAGGAGAAAAAGAAGTTCTTCTTAGAAAGTTTAAATTAACAATACAGCAGGATCAACTCAGAACTGAACAATTTAAGGAAAATGAACAAAAATACACAAACAAGCTGATTTCTTCCAAAGTTAAAATCTCCTAAAACTTAATTTTTAACAAGAGATATATGGATGAAATAAGACTGGGAACAAAATGCAGCAGCCATCCACTCACTACCTGAGCATTTTATTTCTTTCAGCTGTTGCTTGGACTTTGTTGTGTATTTGCACTGGGGCCATGGAAATAGGTAAGATTACTGAACTTTTAAAATTTGGTCATGACAGGGAGTAGTGGGAGATGATGAGGCTAAATTGCAAAAATAATTAACCTGGGGAACTTTTGCCAGGAATGCATATCATATTTCAGAAGTCTGGAGCAAAAGGGATTTTAGCCCTGAATAGGGAGGAAGTGGGTTGAGATTTTGAACAAAACATGTCATACAGTTCAATCAATGGATTACTTACTATTGCTTACTATATATGTTGGATGTTTGTATTTGTGAGAACATGATTGTGTATAGATGTCATAATAAACAAAATGCTAACTACTCAGTAATAAGATATTTTTAAGCACACAAGTGCAGCCACCTGAAAAGTCATTCAAAGTGTAATACATCTTCAGATACTGATCATTTGAAAACATCTGCAAAACCGGTTGCATATGACAGGAACAAAACAATGGCAACAGGTAAACTATATGTGAGAAACCATAGCAGTACAAAAATGTTTTCTATAGAGGCATCCGTATGGTTTCTAACTGTCAATGCTCTCCATGTACAGACATTACAGAATGGCTGATAAGAGCTGGAGCTGGTATTTCTTATTGCTAATATGACACAGGATATGCTTTTTTTAAAAAAAAGTTCAGCAGCTGTGATTAATTAGTATGGTTACAGCTTATCTTGGAAAGCTGCCCACAATTGAAATGGGGTGAAAGAAAATCTCCCAAGATTAGACTTTTTGCTGGGTTCAGATGTTATGATTTGGTGGTATCTCTTAGGCACATACAAAGAAAGGATCATTTGAAGCGCAGCTCACTACAACATCAAAGAGACAACTGTACAAGATTTTTAGGGCTAAAAACAATGCAAGCGAGTATATTTATTTGATCTTCCAGTAATTTCTAATTTTTAAATCCTCGTGGAGAGTTAAGTAATGTAAGTGCATATGTATCTAGAACAGTATAAAAGACATCAAGGGGAAGTGACTTTTTCATATCTGGAGGCAACTGTTTTTGTTGGAGAGTTATAATCAATGTACACAATATTTATAGCTACTGAAAAGAAATGCCCCTAAGCTTATATTAAGAAACTGATAAAATGCAGCAGGTGAGTATTATGAAAGAATTATTTTTTTAAAAAAAGCAATTATTTTCTTTCTCCCATTTCTTACTGCATATTCCACTCCAGTAAAATTGCTTTGAAGACATTTACATTGTGGCAGATTGTGTTATGACATTATGAAGATATTAACAAAACCATATGCTGTTAGCTTTTATATTCTGATAACAAATCTGCTAATTCCACAGTGGAGAGGGGATGAGAAACCAGAAAGCTGCCTGGAGGTATCTAATTAAGGAGAAGAAAAAGTCTTAAAAGAGCAAGAAAGAACTTTCTGTTTGTGATTTTCTTTCTTTCTGTTTACAAGGATATATTGCAGTTCCAATTAAAGGAACTTTCATGGCTTTGTTGGTTTGAATTGCACTTTCATGTTTCTTGTAAGGAGGGCACATGAAAAGATTGCCAACAGTGTCCATAGCTGCCTTGTAGTTATTGCTTATGAATTAAGTTAAAGGCACAGAAGTAAAAGTTACCGAGAATTCAAATGTTATTTTGGCAAAGAACATGGAACTAAGACTGCATCACCATTTCATTATGCACATCTGTCAAAAGCTTTTGGATAGATTTCAAGGGAAAATTCTCAGTTGGTAAGCAATTAGGGAGAAGTTGTAGAATCAACTATTCTTCCATCCTCCTTCTGAAATTCAAATTCTGTCTGTGAACAAACTATAGAAATCCATTTATTTCATTTACTTTCCTCAACCAGTTGTAAGTTATGTTTTAATGTGGACATCACACCAATATTGCTGACCCTACCAAAAGATTTCACAAGAGCAGGAGGGTTGGACGAGAAGATCTCCAAAGCCCCTTTCACCTGTATTCTGTTATTCTGTAATGTTAAGGAAAGACCAAAGTATTTTGATAAAGCTAATAATTTTCCGGAATTTATAGGGAAGATGCTTGTGTTCCCTGACATAGATGGTTTATGTGAAGAATCAGTCAGAAAGAGAAGCAGCATGAAAATTTGGTTCCTTGGGAGAAACCCAGAATAGATTTGCTCTGCTTTGATTATATGATGCTTTATTGTTCGTCTATGTCTATATTACTTAACAGAGATCAAAAAAGATGCACTACAGTTTTGCAACACCAATGCAAATGTACCTTTTTTTCCTGGATAGCATATATACAGATAGCTATGCACAACAGAGCAAAAAAGTATGTATGTACTACTACACAGTGTTTTCAAGTCATTTTCCTTTTATTTAAGAGCTTCATGTTACATTTAGTTCAAAGGATGAGGAGACAAGCAGTGCCAAAACATACAGCCATTTTCTCTGTCATAATTCAAAAATGCATTTAACCAATGAAAGAGAATTGTCTTTTCCTATATCTTTTCAGATTTTCTGAAGTCTGAATTTTCTAACTTTTAATTTCAATTTATTTTAATCTAAATATTTTAATAAATTGCATCACAGTTGAACTTATTTTAATTTTTATGTTAAAATGAAAGAATAGAAAACCATATACTATTCATAATCTTTTAAAAAATGTACTCTGTTTGACTATATTGTGAATAGTTATGAGAAGAGAAAAAGCTTTCCAGGTAGACAAACCAATGGAGTTGAAATTACACTTTCCAATATATAGGATATTCCAAAAATCAGGCTTCATAAACCAATCACAATATTCATTCATTTATTTATATCCCACCTTTATTATTTTCACAAATAACTCAAGGTGGTGGACACATCCAACACACTTCCTCCTCCTATTTTCAACAACCCTGTGAAATTAATTGTGCTGAGAGAGAGTGACTGGCTCAAATCATCCAGTTGGCTTTCATGGCTAAGGCAGCACTTGAACTCATGGTCTCTTGCTTTCTAGCCTGGTGCCTTAACCAAGCTGGGTTTCTCAGCAAAAATGCTACTGTACTTAGGGATGTTCAAATGTCACATATCAAATGAGTAAGTTTTTAGAAGAAAATGGGAACCACACTGAACAGAGGCCTGACGTTTAGTATACTCTGTGTATTCCCCCATCCCTTGCACACTTGGGCCCAAATGAAAGCTCCCAATATCCCTCCAGAATATTTATGATTGGAGACACTTGATTGCCTGTTTTGCCTAAATAGTTTTCTCCCTGTTCACCAATATAGCAATAGCACTTAGACTTATATACTGCTTTACAGCCCTCTCTAAGCGATTTTTGCAGAGTCAGCCTATTGCCCCCAACAATCTGGGTCTCATTTTACCCACCTCAGAAAGATAGAAGGCTGAGTCAACCTTGAGCCTGGTGAGATTTGAATATAATTGTAGTTTTTTTAATTGGATGTATCAATAGGATCCCATTTTTCAAGGGAGGTGAACATGCAGTTTTGAAATTTTGCAGGTTTATGCATGACCTATGCATTCATAATGGTTCATTGGAAAATAATATCTTGGGGGAGGAGGTAAGAAGTCCGCTGGGGATTTTGGGTTGATATCTTATAGCGGGTAGCTTTTTTGTCTAGTTTAGTGATGGAACTGCATTTAGGAAGAAATCATTATCTGGTCAGTTTCAAAAGGGTGTCTCTATTGAGATTGATTGAAAATTTGTTCCAGGTGCAGAGAATGCAAATACTGTGATATGCATTAGATGGAATGAGAAAATTGCAGGGGTTTAGTCACGTGGCTTGGCTCTTTGTCTTTATTAGGAAACCAACAATGAATAACAGGCACTTGACAAGCTGCCGCAAACTTATATGAACAATTAATTGGTGAACTGATGCAATGTTTTACATTTGCTAGGGCTTATTTGTACTCTAATGTGTCTTAGCTCACTAAACATCACCCATAGACAAGAACATTGGCAGCTTACAAATTAATTTAGGAGAGTATATAAAGTCTTCAGCAATAACCCACTAAAAGGGGTCACTTATTGGTGCATAATATTATGAAATGCTACAAATCTCTCCTTAGGGAAGAGAACAACAAGGCCAATAAGGATATGTGGACACCACAGATTGATGCAGATAAGAACTCCCTTTGTCCGTGCTTCACAGCTACTGATCTAAAAAAAATATTTTCCAAATCCTACTAAAGAAGTGCCAATTGATACTTATAAGGAACACTTTCAAATATTAAATAACTAGCTCAAAAGCCATGCTTCACTATGAAACTATGTGGTCGGGCTTTTGGGGATGAAAATAAGTGGAAAAAATCTGCCTCTGCCTACCAGTATCCATCGGTATTCATCTGGCTAGCATCCTGTCAGAGAGAGAGTTGAGGGTTGCTTGGAAACTGAAACAGTATTTCTATGTGAGCAAGAAGGAGACACCAAGGAGCCTGGGTGTGGCTTAAGCTCAACTGTTCTCTACTAAAACTGCTTGGTGTTGTGAAACTGAAACTGAAACTCCTCTCCTCTGCTTGTGTTTTGCATTTGGAACAGATTTATTTTCAGGTGGGGAGGGCAGAGGTGGTATTCAGCAGGTTCTGACCAGTTCTGGAGAACCCGTAGTGGAAATTTTGAGTAGTTCAGAGAACCAGCAAATACCACCTCTTACTGGAGATTTTACAGTATACTTCCCCTGCCATGCCCATCAAGCCACGCCCATAGAACCGGTAGTAAAAAAAATTGAATCCCACCACTGGGGGAGGGAGAGTAGAATTCCTTAGCATTAGAGCCTGTTAATAATAATATAGGAAATACTAATGCTCTGGTGGTCATTTTGAAAAATCCTTTCTTAGTGAGCATCTAGAAGCCAAGAGGAACATACGTGCCAAATTTCAAGTTTGTAGGCTTTATGGTTCTGGAGATTTCATGATGATGTGTGAGTCACTTATATATATATATATATATATATATATATAGATGTGGTGGGAAATTTTTTTCCATAGGATACTACCTTATTTGCTATGTTGCACTTTGGGTCACTGGTCTGTCTCTTAGAACAGATTAAATGTATAGAATCTCTTAGGTCAGGAAAAGAC